GATTCTATACTTATTTTCTTTTTTATTCTATTTCTTAACTACTTAGAATAGTGCCCGGCACTAAATCAGCGGTACTGTATAGAAATTTATGAAATAAATGAATATTGTTTTATTTAAACATTTAACGTTTTCTAATGTGTGGAACTGAAGTTGATACCAACTACTATTGATGTGCCCTCAATCCCAAAAAACAACCATCAGAGCAGGAATACACTGTAATGTATTCTGAGGTAGCATCCTCACACAGCTTTCAGGTCCCAATTGTGCCTGTCCTCAGAGCAATAGTAATTATAATCTTGTGCCATCAAGTCAATTCTGATTGATAGTAACCCTTTCTAAGATTTTCTAAGTAGAGAGTACTCAGAATTGGTTTATCTCCCTGGAGGCACAGGGGAGAATCAAACTACCAACCTCTCGCTTGGCAGCCAGATACCCACACCATTGAGTTATCCAGCCAGCTCTTCAGAGCAATACTCAGTACAAAAGTGGACTTGGGGGGGGCACCTCAGTAAAACAAGCACATCCAGCAACATACCCAACTACAGTACATAACTAAATCTATCCAAAACTCCACTGTTCAAGACCAAACCAAGCTATGCATGCATCCAAAGGAACTGTTCCATTAAAATTCTCTGGAGAAACATTGTACCATACAGGCATTATAGCTAACTCCTGAGTGGAAGAGGAAAATCCTTAAAGGAAAATCCTTAAAGGCTTATTATGTGTGAGTTTTGAGCTTTCACGACAGGAGCCTCTCCCAGAGTATGCAAATCAGCTTGCTTTGTTTTGTGGTTGGTTTTTAGGATTTAAGTGTAGGATTCCTTTGAAATATGGAAATATATGTCTGAGTCACATCTGCCTAATAGTTAAATCCTTTCAATGCTAATGACAGGATATCTGTAAGGTCTGTTTCTGCCCTCAATGCTGAAAATCTCCACAATGGTGTCATGTAATTTCCCTTTATTTTTGTGGCGCACAAATGGAGGTATGTTGAGAATTTGAGCATATTTGTATGCTTCAGTCTCCCCCCCCCATTTTGTAATATAGTAACTGAAAAATGTGGGGGGCATTGGTAAAGACAGCTGTATTATTGAGCCTTGTAAAACAAATTCTGGCTCCCAACCTTGCTCTGAGGTACTGTTACTTTTCTAGCTGCTGTTGCCATTGCTAGCAACTAATAATTAATAAAGAATAGCAGCAGTGCACTGATGGCTGCCTTTTGCTGTTTGTACTCCGGCAGCATCCTGAATGCAGTGAGGGAGTCAGCTGCAGCTGCTGACCCTCTGTTTCGACGGGCTCAGACTTCATTAGGAGGCCCCAGGCTGCAAGCAAGATCTCTGGTTTCAGCTGGCAGTGTTTCAGAAGCCCAGGAAGAGATACCCGAGCTTCCAGAATGGCTGATGAAAGAGCTGCTCAAAGGACAACAGAGAAGCCATTCCATTGGAATGATGGAGAACATATCAGACAGTGAAGCTATTCATCATCGTGTCGACTCCTCCAGAAGTCAGTGGAAAGGCAAGGTAGAGTGAGATCCTTCATTGGGCTTGAAAGGATGGTAAAATTGTGAAATACTGGGAAAGGTCACATAAGAGGGTATGGTAGTATTATACATGGAAACATAGCTTTGCTGACTCTAGCGGCAGGCAAAGTAAAGTAGATGCCGCAAATAGCAGATGGTAAGAGAGAGAAAAGGAGTGACAGTAAAATGCTGGAGAAAATTGCTATATGTGCACCAAATAACCTGGCCAGTTCTTCAGACTGTTTACAACTGGTGGAGTGAAGGAACACAACACGGAAGTAAGATTCAGCAGCCAGTCTGGTCAGCTTACACCCATGGAATGGAGAGAGTGCCATTTTGTGCACTGCTCCAGGCAGCAAAATGTCTGAGGACAGTCCTATATGGCGAAAATCTGCTTTAAAGTAGTTCTTTTAATAGCCTTCGGATGAAAATAGGTGCTCTTTTTTCCCACTGTGTGACAAAACTGCTCTCTATGTCAGGTTAGGTAGAAGAACAGCAAACTTTATGGTAATTGTGGGAGTGTCACCTGAAAAGCTCTTGAAGACACCTGAAAGCAAGAAACCACCATGAACATGAAGCAAACGTATGGTGGCTTGTACATAATTATCCCAAATAAGTGCATTTGGGATGAGAAAACAGGATCAGTTTCACCATCTCCTGCATTTCGGTTGTTAAATTTTCCAGTTCTTTCTGTCCTCTTTTTTTTTGGGGGGGGGGAATCAGATTTTTGAAAATTCTTCCCAATCCAACCAAGTGAGAATTTCTCTATCTGAATCAGCCAAATTCAGTGGGCACAGTTATTTCCAGCATGGAGAGAACCATTTTGTGTTTACTGTTTTAGGCAGCTGGCTGCAGAGCCAGAAGTTAGGAGTTCACTATGCCTACTGACAGGGGCTCAACTTGATGTTCCATAGATTTCCTTCTACCTGTGCAATTCTAAGATTAATGCTAAAATTATCTGCTATATAGGCGTTACAGATGAGGCACCTTTTAGAAGAAGGGATTGTAACTTTGATTCAGTAACATGGTGGGTGAATACTCAGATGTGCCTTCTCATTCATCCCTGCTTGCCAAAGCACTTTCCTTTCAAGAAAGTGGAGGGGGAAAGAAGGCGCTTCCCCGCCACACACACTTTCTGTGAGGAAAGTGCTTTCATCCCTCCACTTTCTTTGCAAAAAGCGCTTTGATCCCTCCCCCATTCCTTACTACCATGTATAAAACAACCCTCAATTTTTCTTCTAATTATTTTAGAAAAAAAGTATCATTTTATACATGGAAAAATTTGGTACTCAAAGTGAGACCGTGTATCTATTTAAAAAATAAAATGCATATGAAGTTGAAAAGTGTGGACCAATATGATATGCTATTTCCTTTGAAATTAATTTATCCCAACTCCCCATTGTTCTTCATGGTGTCAGGAGGGGCCAATTTCAAAGAAAGCAACATCAGGGAGGAGATATGGTTTACTGATTATTATTATTTTTTTAAACAATAATTATATTGCTTGGTTTTATGATTCTCTTGTGCACTACTCTGGGTCCATTTAATAAAAGAATTGGCTATGGAACTAGTTAAACCATTCCTGCCTTTTCCTCACACCCAACCCTGTCATCCCAATTGGTTTCAACTTAAATGACATTTCATTTACATAATTCTGTAGCAAACACATATCTGAAATTCTTTCTTGGTGAAAAGTGGATGGGTGGGAAGTGGATCATGGAAATTTGTGTGGGATTTATTTATTATTCATGTATTTTTTTAGAAATTATTGTGTCTTCCTCCTACTTATTTTAGTGCTTATCTTCTATGAGTGCACTTTTTCTCTTTTTTCATAATTTCTATTAGGGGAGGATTGGATGAATTTGTGACAGATAGTAGGTCCTGAGACCAGGTAAAATGCAAGTTCTGTCTTAAAATATAGTGGAAGATGCTCCTGGGTTAACAAAAATGGCACTGCGAAATGATGGAATTAGTACAAGGGTCTCCTTGAAGAGTATTCAATCCTTAGGTGCCTCAGAGTCTGAAAAAACGCCTGTGTCTAAAGTATTTTAATTATTCTTTGCTTTTTTTCTCTCTCTCTTTCCAAGATTGAGGAGCACGTAACTCTTGAACAGCTTCAAAAAATACAGACAGCTTTTCAGGTATGTTAACACCATAATGAAATTGTCTATATAGTACTACTGTATATGTTATTTCATTGTGAAAAGAAATGGTATCCCAAGGGCACTTACCAATTGGAAGCAAGATTTTTTCTACTGTCAGTTATGCACAAATACCGTAGTTGATTTCAGTTTGTAAGTATGCTGTTGTATTTATGCTTCAGAATTGTTTTGAATCTGGGGGAAGAAAATATTGAAGTAAGGTTTTCATGGATATTGTTTAGAGATTTTTGTCAGCAACATAATCACAGCTCAATAATAATATGGCTCAATAAGAAGCTTACGGCATACGCCAAGATCCAGGTCTATAGAGCCTGTATCCTGAGCACACTTCTGTACTGCAGTGAGTCCTCGACCCTTCATGCACGGCAGGAGAGAAAGCTGAACATGTTCCATATGCATTGCCTACAACTCATTTTTGGTATCACCTGGCAGGACAAAGTCCCAAATAGAGTAGTCCTAGATCGAGCTGGAATTTTTAGCTTGTATACATTACTGAAACAGCAATGTCTACGTTGGCTTGGTCATGTTGTAAGAATGGCAGATGGTCGGATTCCAAAAGATCTCCTGTATGGAGAATTAGTGCAGGGACATCTCCCCAGAGGGAGACCACGGCTGCGATACAAGGATATCAGCAAGCAGCAGCTGAAGGCCTTGGAAATGGACCTCAACAGATGGGAAACCCTGACATCTGAGCATTCAGCCTGGAGGCAGGCGGTGCATCATGGCCTCTCCCAGTTTGAAGAGATCCTTGTCCAGCAGGCTGAGGCAAAGAGGCAGTCACAAAAGCAGCAAAATCAGGGAGCTAGATGGGGTACAGATTGTATTTGTCCTCAGTGTGGAAGGGATTGTTACTCTCGAATTGGCCTTCTCAGCCACACTAGATGCTGTTCCAAGTCCTCCATACAGAGCATGATACCATAGTCTCTTGAGACTGAAGGATGCCTATTACTATTACTGCTGTATATGAAACGGAAACTTCTATTAAAGGAACAGCTGTAGGACAGAACTAAAAACTGTTACCCCTAGGAGTGACATCAATCTGCCTTGAAATGCTGAGTTTCATTGCTGTTGAAACCCTGGCCCCCATATCCTGAGGACACCTGTACTGTGTTTTTTGGGGGGGGAGGGGAGAAGGGCAGTCTGCAATATCTTTGCATTTTATTTTTGTGTTCTGTTTTGTGTTTGTTTATTTTGAATTCCCATGTTTTAGAGACAGAGAGAGAGCAATATAAGACCATGCTTAGACATTTAAGTTATTGTCTCATCACATCTACTTATTGTAGCAGATTATGTTTTTCCATTGCTTCCTCTGCTTTCAGGAATTTGAAAATAGTGTACAGAAATCTTTGGATCTGGAAAACTTCAAGCACACGTTAAAGAAATGTATGGGATCACATAATACAGTAAGCAAACCAAAAATTAAAAATCATATAGCAAATAGTTTAATGGGGTTTCAAACGAAAGGGATGGCATGGGTGGTGTACAGCCTGCTCTTGCTTCCTGCCCTGCATTTGGCCTCTAGCTCCCATACCACACTTCCACTGATGTTGGTTGCTGTAACTATATTTTTCCATTCTTACTCTTGTCTGTGGCTATTTCTAGGCTCTGGTCCTGAGCAAATATGCTCATGAAATCATAACATTTTGTGTGTGGAAAGTTTATTATGCATGTATTTTGCCCCTACAGAACGATGAACAAATAGAAAAGCTTTTCATGAAAATAGACTATTCTGCAACTGGCAGAATTCAATGGGTAAGTGTGCATTGTAGTACCATCAGGGAAAAAAAGTACATAGGATAAGTCATTGTCATCATTATCGTTATCATTTTTAAAAATTCTTTCTACCTTAAGCTAGTTGTAGTGTAACTTCCTACAAACAATGGAGGCTGAGTTGGGTGTCGGGTTATTTATTCATTCATTCATTCATTCATTCATTCATTCATCCATTCATTCATTCAGTTTGTATCCCACTCCCATTGGTGTCACAGCACTTTTCTGAGCAGGTTACAATTCATAAAATAGGAAAGTAAGATAAAAATAGAGATATTAAAACCAATAGCAAGAACCCTAAAAAAACAGATGGCACCAACTAATCCCAGAGTGAATGGATGAAAAGAGGGGAGGGAAGAAGATGAGGGGAAAGTAAAAGGGGGGAAGGTGGTCAGCTGGTGTCGGTGTGGAAAGCCTCCCTGAAAATGTCTTTAATTGCTTCCTAAAAGTCCACAGGGTCTAGGCGGAGCTCCTTCGGAACCTGGTACCATAAAGTTGGAGCCACCACAAAGAAGGCCATGCCTCTTGGCCACACGGAGGAGCCTCAACTAGGATGAGGGGAGGCACTACAACTATATACTTTCTACATTTCCCTGTGCTGTAGCTAGCTTATTTTGTAGTTTATACTCTGGAATCAACTAAACTCCAGAAAAAAACACAACAATATAAACCCCGTTCAGACTGAAGGAGCATGTTAATCTTGCTTCTCCTCACCTAGTTTTGTTGCTCTCACACCACGTGGACAGTGATTTTCTGGAAAGTTGATCCTGTAGATTCAGAACATTGAGAAATTAGTGTCGTGGATCATGCAGAAATTTTTCACAGGTAGAGGAAATGCTCCTCTTAAGAAATTGCAAAGAGTTGGCCCTGTTAATTTGTTGCGGCAATAGCTACAAATCACCATCTGGTACCTCAAATGCCAACATTTTGCAACAGATGGCACCAACTAATCCCAGAGTGAATAGATGAAAAGAGGGGAGGGAAGAAGATGGGGGGAAGGTGGTCAGCTGGCGTCGGTGTGGAAAGCCTCCCTGAAAATGTCTTTAATTGCTTCCTAAAAGTCCACAGGGTCTAGGCGGAGCTCTTTCGGAACCTGGTATCATAATGTTGGTGCCACCACAAAGAAGGCCATGCCTCTTGGCCACCCGGAGGAGCCTCAACTAGGATGAGGGGAGGCACTACAACTATATACTTTCTACATTTCCCTGTGCTGTAGCTAGCTTATTTTGTAGTTTATACTCTGCTGACAAAGGGAATCAACCAAACTCCAGAAAAAAACTCAACAATATAAACCCCATTCAGACTGAAGGAGCAAAGAGGTGGCCCTGTTAATCTGTTGCAGCAATAGCTACAAATCATCATCTGGTACCTCAAATGCCAACATTTTGCAATATTTTACTTGACATAAGCTTTTCTGTGTCTGACCTATGGCAAATAAAACATTGGCGCAAGAAATGAAAAGGAGCCATGTGGTCAGTACAAAATACAAACACAACAATAGGCAATACCTGTGAAGACAACTAAAAAGTCATAATTCAATCTGAAAGGTTTTATGGATCATGGCCATCCACTTCATCAGAAGTGTACCAGTGTGAAGAACATAATGTCCAAAATTTCATGGCAAAATGGACTTTGCCAGGAAAGTTACGTCCAAAAGTTCTTGACAAGATGGATTTTCCCAGGCACAACTTTCTTAGATGCAAATCAGGAAGGATACAGCCTGCAAAGTCATAATTCAATCTGAAAGGTTTTATGGATCATGGCCATCCACTTCATCAGAAGTGTACCAGTGTGAAGAACATAATGTCCAAAATTTCATGGCAAAATGGACTTTGCCAGGAAAGTTACGTCCAAAAGTTCTTGACAAGATGAATTTTCCCAGGCACAACTTTCTTACATGCAAATCAGGAAGGATACAGCCTGCACTACCGTGTTTCTATGAAAATAAGACAGGGTCTTATATTAATTTTTGCTCCAAAAATGCAGTAGGGCTTTTTTTTTTCATGTACAACCATCTACATTTATTCAAATACAGTCCTGTCCTCCTCTTCTGGTTTCTGCATAATGGTGGAGGGCAGGGTTTCACTTAATTGGGGCTTATTTTGGGGGTAGGGCTTATATTACAAGCATCCTGAAAAATCCTACGGGCTTATTTTCAGGTTAGGTCTTATTTTCAGGGAAACAGGGTAGAGCTGTTGTTTTCACAAGTTACAGCTGAGGTAGCTGTGGATTGGATGTCACACTCCACTTCTTTAACCAAAGAGACACAGGCCGTGCACACATACATCTCCCCATTTGACTTTTCTCTGAAACAGACATATCTCTGCTTGGCCAGGGAGGGGTGAGACAGAAAAACTGAGTCCTCCATCTGGGAACTGAGGCAGCAATTTAGTAAACTCACTAGGTTTAGCTAACTGGGGTCAGATTAAAGTCAAAATAATATTACCCAGTTGTTGTAGTCCTGCTTCACTGATGTTGAGAGTCTATGTGTCATCTTGTTGGTATGAGTGAGTGGTGCAGCTATTTCTTGGTATCCTTGTAATTATTTTGAAATAAAAGGGAGCTGTGTGGTCAGTGCAAAATACAAATGCAAGAGAAGGCCATACTGTTACAGACCCCACACACACACACAAATCATCCTATACACACACACACACACACACAAATCATCCTGTGATCTGTGAACTTTTGTGTTGTTCTCTTCAGAAAGGAGTTGACATTATTATAGGATCATCCTTCATTTATGAAATTCCTAATGGTGAGATGGGCCTGGCTTTCTTCTGTAATTTGTGCTGTGTGCTGCACCACACCGCGCTAACAGGATTTGCACCACAGTTGCTGCTGCTTTGTTTATGACTAATAACATAACCTTGGCTGCTTGGGAGTAAGCTTCATTGAACACACAGAGACTCACTAAATGACTATGTATGGGATTGTTGTGCATGTGGACTAAGATAACAAAAGGTTCTTTCCCTCTTTTACTAGCATGACTTTTGCACATACATGTATTTGGAATATGCTGAACAGGATGAGGCATCTGCCCGTCTGAAAGAGATTGCCTTCTCGCTTCCTACTACAATAAAGCAGATCCCACACGGAGAACCTGTGCTGCGCATTTGCTCACTGTCAGATAGCACATTAATTACAGCTCGAGAAGATGGGACGATTTCTTTCTGGTCACCAGAGCTCAAGCTAAAACGAAGCCGGATGGTGTTTGTATGTTAAATGCTCTTGTTTTCCTGCTTTCAGCTTTCTCTATCCATTCACTTCATTCGACGTGGAGAGGGGGGATTTGCTGGTTGGGTAACAGCCTATCCTCCATATTATTTTACCCAGGCTTCATGCCCTGGAGAGGACACTCCAGCTTCATGTACAGCATCAAAACACTAGACGCTGTTCCAAGCCCTCCATACAGAGCACGTTACCATAGTCTCTCGAGACTGAAGGATGCCTATGATGATATTGTATCCCAAAAGTTCCTTATACTCCACTTGTACTCTAATCATTAAAATCAACCACTCTGTGGTCTGTGTGGGAGAAAGATGTACCCCTTCAAAGCCTTACTACCATGGAAAATTGTGTAATAACAGACAAAGCTACCACGTTTGGTTTGTTTTAGAAAGGATTTACAGTCCTAGAAGCTACCCGACAGAATGGGTTTGTTTTACAACAAGGTTTGTAGTCCCCATGCATCTCCTTTTCAGTGGACTTCACTATTTTTTGCTGATGCACCTATCAAAATTGCCTGCCCCACTTCCAGAGCAGAGCTTCAAAGGGTTATTTTTTACTTTTAAAAAGTGATTTGTTATTAAACTCGCTAATACAGTGGAAATTTGAATGATTTGTTAGCCAGAATCCTGCTGGTGTTGTGTTAAGGTTTGCATAACTTGCTGCAGCTACAGTAATTGATAAGCTGATTGGTATGCATCAGTCATGTGCCTGCTTATATGCTCACCTGCATATCAAGATGTGTACCCCGTACCTTATTAATTAGCTGTAGTTAGCTGCAGCAAGTTACATTAACATTTGAAACAATGGAACTCACAGAAAAGTTGACTCACTAATTTACTACCCTAAGTAACAGGATTCTGGCCATTCTTTACAATACAGATTATGTTTATATATCCAGAATCTCAAATAAATCTTCTTTTCTACATTATTGCAGTGGTGGAATGTCCCAACTATTCACATAAAAGTCTACTTCTCTTTCAGCTTTCCTTTTCTGTGTTCCACCTTTTCTGTTATCTACTTCCTCAGTTGTTTTAGTCACATTTTATTTTGAAAATGTGAGAGGCCAGTTTGTAGTATTTATGACTCAGGAGTGGTGATAATTGTTTAACATCTTGTTTTGTTTCATATCTAGGATAAAACACACAAAAAATCAAAATGGCTAATGGATGTTACGGTTATGACACCATATAACAAATTAATAATAGGAACTGGGTAAGTGTTTGATACACAAAAATAAAAGCCCTTCATCATGATTTCTTTCATCCAGAACTTTGGGGTGCAGGTTCACTAGGGAAAGTATAAAGAAAATTACGAACAAGCATAGCCTTCTGGTTTGTGAGTGCAATTCTAAAAACATGGTTGCATATGGTCCCTTATGGCAGTGGTCCCCAACCTTGGGCCTCCAGATGTTCTTGGACTTCAACTCCCAGAAATCCTGGCCAGCAGAGGTGGTACTGAAGGCTTCTGGGAGCTGTAGTCTAAGAACATCTAGAGGCCCAAGGTTGGGGACCACTGCCTTATGGGACCACTAAAATATCATTAAAATCTGGCT